AGCAAAGTGGGAAGCCCGAGTTCAGTCCCTGATACCCTCCCAGTACCCCCCAGCACCTCCAGGAGCAACTGATCCCCAAACATAGAGCCAGGAGTAAGCTCTGAGCACAGAGCTGGGAGGAAGCCCTGAGTACCAAGTCAGGTGTGTTATTTTATTGTTGTTGTTGTTGTTGTTGTTGTTTTGTTTGGCCCACACCCAGACACGCTCAGAGCTTACTCCCAGCCCTATGCCCAGGGATCATTTCCAGTGGGGCTCAGGGGAGTATAGGGGGTTCCAGGGATCGAACCCAGATCGGCTGCATGTAAGGCAAGCGCCCTACCTGGTGTACTATCTTTCTGGACCCTCAAAAAATCGTTTTGATTTAAAATCAGAAATCAATGGAATGTTAAACCCTGAGCAGACAAAAATCCTTTGGGGTTGTGTGTGTGTGTGTGTGTGTGTGTGTGTGGCGGGGGTGTTTGCAGCCAACAGAGCCTTAATCCCATGCGTCAGACCCGCTAAGCGTGCCTGGGGGGACACAACAGCAGGAGAGATGCCACCCCCTGCTTTGTACCCAAGTGCCACGCCCCGGAAGGCCTCCTGTGGCTTTGATGTGCGACGGGCAGGACAGGACGAGTGGCCTGGGATACACCCGGCCCAGATCAGCCCCTGCCGCCCGTGGGCGAGCGCCTCGCATGATGAGCGCCCGTTGCTCTGGTCCGTGTTTCCAGGCAAGTGCCTGCTTGTGGGGAAAGTGAAACTTCTCCCCGGATGCACGCCCACCCCCACGTGACACGCCTGCAGGCACACACGCGTGTGTGTGTGTGTGTGTGCCGGGCACAGGTGCACCTCCCCTCCCGGTGCCCATGCCTCTCCTCCCTCCTGGCCGGGACGGCCCCATCCCCCACCTCTGTTTCCTGCCATGGCAACGGGTCGGGAAGAACCTTGGTGCTGGAGATAAGGTGCTGGGGCGGGGCGGGGCAGGCCAGGTGTGGCGGTGGGGCTGGGAGAGGAACCGAGAGGCCAGGGTGGAAGGTCACACACATTCTTCCTACGTCAAGGCCAGGTCCTCCGTGAGGGCCAGCACCCTCATGCCAGGGCGGGCACACCTGGTCTCCTTTCCCATAAACGGGGTGATGAGGCTGGTGTCGGTGTGGTGTGGGCCAGGGCATATCAGGGTCCAAAAGCTTTGGTCATCCTGGTGACTCCCTGTGGGAACCTGGACAAGGACCAGGGGCATCTGGCTCCCCCCGACCCCAGTAGCCCCCGCTGGTCACCCCGCAGCTCTCCCCACCTGTGTTGGGGTGGGGATACACCTGCCTGCTGAGCCTGCGGAAAGATGACTGCCACGTACGTAGCAAGCTCCCCACAACTGCGTGTTTTCTTGGCATGGAGCTGACTGTGAGCCCAGGTAGAGTGCCCCGGGCCTCACATAGCCCCCAGGAACCCCCAGCACCCCCACCCCCCAGGTCTAGGGCCAAGTCCAGCTGCTTCCACAGGTGCACAGACCCTAGAAGGAGATTCTGGATCTGACTTATGCCCCCGGCTTGTGTGGTGCTGTCAGCTGCAGCACCAGGCCTCTGAGGCTGGCTTCCACGGTACCTCACCACTCCTTCCGTCCTGCCCTGCCTCTGCCCAGGGGCTAGTACCCAGTGGTCAGAGACATCCACCATCCTTGTCACCAGCTCCTCTTCCTCCCTGCCTCCATCCTGGTAAACCCCCCACCCTGACACCCTCTGAGTCCCGGTTCCTCTGCACGGTTCCTGGGGTGACCTGCAGCTCCCTGTGTACCCAGGCGGGTGGCATTGAGCCTGCTACCCTTGGCTGGCCCTGCCTGACCCACAGGTGAACCTGAGCCATGAGCCCCACCCAGCCCAGAGCTCCTGGCCTAGCACATGTCTCTCTGCAGAGGAAGTCGTGGACACTGCTCTGACCCAGCCAGCTCTCGGGGAGCCAGGACAGAGGGTCAGGCGGTCTCTCCTCCCTGCGGCCCGGCACACACTTCCTGAGAGGGGTCCCGGCCAGGTCTCAGCATGCTCTGGCCTGGAAGCAGCAAACTGCTTCCACCTGTGAGCTCTGGTTGGAAGGCACAGGGGCTGCAGGACGGCCAAGACCTGGGGTCAGCAATCACAGGCCCGTGAACAGCACCACGGGCTATGGAACAGGACTGCCCCCCTACACACACACACACGCATGCGTGCACATGCACACACGTGTGTGCACACACGCACACGCACATGCATGCACGCATACACACACGCACACACATACACACATGTGCACACGCACGCACATACACACACATGCACACACAAACATGTGTGCACACACACACGCACACACACACACAGCCTCTCCAGATGAGGTGGTCAGCAAGCCCAGAACCCAGCCTGCTGTCTTGCCCCCACCCTCACCCCCACTCTCCAAACTCTAGCTCAACCCAAGGCCCGAGGTAGTTCCTTATCAGCCCCCTAATTCCAAGGAGAGTTCCTGGTGTTCTTAGGAGGCTCCAGCACCAACACACAGCTCACGGGACCCAGCACGAGAGAAGCCAGGCGGCTCCTTGTTTATATCTGGGAGCGGGGACAGTGGGAGGCCACGTCTGTCAGTGTGTGGGGCTGCTCTGTTGGAACCAGACCTAGCGGCGCTGAGGGTTGAGCCTTTTGATCCGTGTCCCCCGGCCCCGCTGCCATCGCAGACGCTAAGTCAGGCTGTTCATCATCGACACTAACTCTGTCTCTCTCTGATTCTCTTTCCCTTGTCGAACTGGCCACTAGGAAGCTCCGATCCCAATCTGAGGGCCGCCTCCTGTGTGGAGGACAGCGGGGAGCACTCACCTGATAGCTTAGCTCCACCTGCATCTCAGGTGATGTCTGATTCCTGCATCCCCGCACCCCCACTCCCCACTTCCTCCCTGAGGCTTTCCCACTCCCTCCTATGTTTTTTTGTTTGTTGTTTTTGGGAGCACCTCTGTCAGTGCTCAGGGCTTATTCCTGGCTCTGTGCTCAGGAAATGCTTCTGGCCAAGCTTGGGGATTCATATAGGGTGCTGGTCAACTACCGCGCACAAGGCCAACCCCCCTACCCGCTGTGCTATTGCTTCAGCCCCACTGCCTCCTGGCTTGTGTTTTCTTCCCGAAAGGTTCCTCACATCCTTCTTGGGGTCTGATGGACACTCATGACTTGGTCCGAGCCAGGATCTGACCAGTGCAGCCAGGGTTTGGGACTTGCACTGGGCCTCCTCAGGAACAGGTGAAATGCTGAGCTTCATGGCTTCCACCTGTCTGGCTGTCCCGGCAGAAGCTGCTGGGTTCCCTGAAGTGTGTAGAGGCCAGGCCACTGTCCCTCTGGACCTCCCAGGGGGCAGCGTCTCATCCTGTGCCTTTGAAGCAGGTCTAGCGAAGAGCCTCGTGGTCTGGCCACACGGGCCAAGCAAGGTCGCTCTGTGTCCAGGGATGGTCAGCTCCTTCCCCTCGGAAATCTGAGGGTCTGGGTCCAGGAGCACAGCACTGGAAGGGGCACTTCTGAGCAGAGCCCCCAGCCTTAGAGAAGAAGAGCCTGACGCCCCACTCTTAGCAGGGCAGAGCCAGAGGTCGCAGGAAGGGGAGAGGGCGTGGGGTCAGAGGAGAGCGAGTCCTCTCTCCCTACCCCCGGAAGATCCCGGGGAGTGTTGGGAGAGGCCCTGGCCATGATTCTGGAGGGGAGCAATGAACAGGGGCATCCAAGAGTGAGCATAGGGTGGGGAGCATGACCAGTGTAGGTGTCCGAGGTGCCCTCTGGCCTCAGTGGGGACGGCATGGGAGGGCTGAGTGGGGCCGGAGGGTCTCGGGAAGCCCTTTGACCTGCACAGACACAGGGAAGAGGAGGCCACCCGTGGCCTTGCAGTGGTCATGCGTGAGATCCAGGCCCTCCTGTAGACCCTCAGGAGCTGGCGCTGCCCACCCTTCAGTTCCAGTCTCCCTCACTCACCTCCCCGAAGTAGTAATAGTAGTTGTTGTTGCTGTTGTTGGTGGTGGTGATGCTGTGTGTGTGTGTGTGTGTGTGTGAGAGAGAGAGAGAGAGAGAGAGAGAGAGAGAAAGAGAGAGAGAGAGAGAGAGAGAGTCTTTGCGTGTGCTCATGCATTTATTTCTTACATTTGGCTACTCTTACTAAACCAGGGGCGTTCCCTGAGACATCCCAAGGCTACTCGAACCCATCCTTCATATCACAGTTCACCTGTCCCTTCCTCTGGAGCCCCCCCCCCCCCCCGACTGCCATGTCCAAAGCTCCATTATTACCCCAAGCACAGCAGGCTCCAGGGCTCTGGCCTCCCTTTGCCCCCCCGTGCAACACCCTTCGCTCCCCCAAGGCCAGGCTCAGATTGACCCTCTCCAAAATCCCAGAGCCTGCCAGTGATGCCTGAGCCGCATGCAGTGGTGCCCAGTAGGGAGTGAGTGAATGAGTCTGAGGCTGACTGGGGAGCAAGGGAAGTGCAAGACGCTGGGATGATGATGGGGGAAGTCAGAGCTGTTGATGGATCTTGATGGATCCAGTCATTGAATCTCAAGTTTCTGAGAAGGCTGCTTTGTCATCTCCCCGCCCCCCCCCCCCGAGATACATTTTACAGAGAAGAGAAACTGAGGCTTCTGAGGTTAAGTCATTTGCCCTCTCAGTTGCAAGAGGTCTAGTAGGACCTGGAGCACAGACAGATGGGCTTCAGGACACTTGGCAGAGAGTGCCATGAGGCTATTTAGTGCTGGGGTGGGTGACAGGAGGTGCTGAGTTCTCTCTCTCTCTCTCTCTCTCTCTCTCTCTCTCTCTCTCTCTCTCTCTCTCTCTCTTTCTCTCTCATGTCTGCCTTTGGCTCCCCCACTTGAAGGTGAAGGCGGGAGTGAGAAAACAAACAGGTCAGCAGTAACTTGAGTCCTGCTCATTCAGCTGCCCTCCCTGCTAGCCCCTCGCTGTCCTGATTCCCACCCCCCCATGCACCTCCTTATCACAGTGACCCTGATGCCCCCCTGTGTTGTCTGTGCCCCCTGCAGATGTCATGGCACCCCCAGTACCGCAGCTCCAAGTTCCGCCATGTCTTTGGCAAAGTAGCCTCCAAGGAGAACTGCTACGACTCCGTCCCCATCACCCGGAGCGTCCACGACAATCACTTCTGCGCCGTGAACCCCCACTTCATCGCTGTGGTGACTGAGTGTGCCGGTGGAGGCGCCTTCCTCGTCATCCCCCTGCAACAGGTAAGAAGGTGTGACAGGCTCGGGACCCAGGCCACTCTGCAGGCCCCGAGGCACTGGCGGGGGATGTGGCAGGGGAGAACCTGGGGCCTTGGGGTCGACAAGGGGGCTCAAGTCTGCCCATGACCGCCAGGGACCTGGTAAGTTGTGTGGGACCTGGGTGTCCGTGCCGGGTGTCCGTCCCCTTTCTTGGTGTGTCAGCTTCATTCGTAGCCTCCCAACTCCGAGGACCCCCTGCAGAATTATTCACTCCAGAATAAAATATAATGGGGGGGGGCAAGGGGGGCATTCCAAGGGGTGCACAACAAGCCTGGAGGCCACTCCCAGTGATGCTTGGCTAAGCACATTGGGGGGGGGCCTCAATGCCAGGGCCTGAGAATTCAATACTCCTTGGGTACCACATTGCTGGGGCTTGCCCAGGCCACCCCAACTTTGCTTGGGGGGGAGCCCCAGAGATTCACCCAGTGATGCTGGAGGGGATTGCAGTGCTAGGGGTCAACCTGGGTTCAGACCTATGCAAGGCATCCACCCTAACCCCTGTACTGCCTCCCCGGGCAGTGGTTTCGTTAGGCCACTCCTGGCAGTACTCTGGGGTTACTCCTGGCTCTGCACTCAGGAATTACTCCTGGCGGTGCTCAGGGAACCTTATGGGCTGCCGGGGAGAGAACCTGGTTTGACCACGTGCAAGGCAAGAGCCCCACCCACAGTCCTATCTCTCCAGACACATAAGATTCTTTATTTTAATGCATTGCTGGGCTCCCAGGATGCTGGAGAGATCTCTCCGCCTTCCCCTCCCCTCCCCCTAGCAAATGAAACAAACATTAAAGGCCAGACCTGCCTGGGAGAGCAGAGGAGAACAGGAAGAACAGGCTTGTGCTATGTGTGATGTTGACAGTGGAGGGTGGACCACAGGCATTGGCTGATATTTTGCAGTTTGATCCCCAGAATGGCAGCTCCATATCGATTAACCTGCTAACAGGCCTCCCCGTCCCCCCCGCCCCTGTCTTTGTTTTAAAGCAAAACCTCCCTTCAAGAGCTGGGGGTCGGGGGGTGCGGGGGTGGCGGAGGGTGGCGTGCTGCTAGCAGGTGGTGCCTGATTCACTGCAGAGGGAGGTAAGTCCTTTCCCCAGAGGGACTTGGTCACAGAGTGCACAGCACGGCCACAGATTAGGATCAGGGAAATGCAAAATCAAAGATTAACAAGCTCCTACGCTACCCTGAGTTAGTCAGCCAAGACTGCAAACCATACACTTAGACCCCCAAGAGAGAACCGAAGAAGTTCACATCAGAGACAGATTAGAATCACGTAGATAGAGAAGGCTTTCAGACCCTGATGCAGCCAAGCAAGAAATCAATAAAGAGATTTTAAAATTCTCATTTGTTTTGGAAGTTTTAAAAAGCATGTTCCTAAATAACTTCTAAGTCCAAGAAGACAGCAACATGAAGTTAAAGTTACCGAGTGCTGGGGCTGGGGAGATAGTACAGTGGGGAAGGCATCTGCCTTGCCCAGGGCCAACCTGGGTTCAGTCCGCAGCATCACATATGGTCAGTTCTTCGAGGACCATCAAGAGTGATCCCTGAGCACAGAGCCAAGAGTAAGCTCTCAGCACTGCTGTGTGTGGTCCCCAAATAAGCAAAAGTAATTCAAAATACCAAGTGCTAATGAAATATATCCCCAAATATGTGTATGTGCGCAGGAGGTGGTGGGGAGGGGTGTGGGGGGCAGGAAAATGCCTTTCAGGGAACTCAAGGAACTACAATGTAGAACACTAATGCTTCTCAGGGGGAAAACAATGAAGATGGAAAATCAATGACTGTCTCGAAGAGGTTAGCTAAAGAACAACAGAGCAAACCTAAAGGAAGTTTGAAGAGGGGGATAATAAAGAAATCAAGGAAGGGTCCTACAGATCCATTAGAGAAGGTAAAAACCAAACCTGCATTCCTAGAAAAGACTGTTCAGCAAACCGCATATGGTGCCAGGAGCTGAACGCAGGCAGGCTGCGTGCTTAAGCGCCCTACCCCTGAGCTGTCAGCCTGACCCCTGCAGTGTTTCTGAGGGATGGTCAAGAATACAGGAGAAGGGCCGGGGAAAGGGCTCAGTGGGCCGAGGTGGTGCTGCGCTTATGGGACACCTGGGTTTGGTCCTGAGCATCAACTGGTCCCCAGCATTGACAGCTTCAACTGCCAAGCTCTGAGACACCACGCACTGCCAGATGAGCCCTCTCCCACCCCCCTCACCCTGCAAACAGAAAGAATAAAATAGAAAATGTGCAAATAGCCTCAGGAAACGTGCAGAAAGTAAAAAGGTTTTAGGATAGGGGCTGGAGCGATCGCACAATGGGTAGGGCATTTGCTTTGCACGCGGCCGACCCAGGCTCAATTCCCAGCATCCCATATGGTCCCTCGAGCACTGCCAGGAGTAATTCCTGAGTGCAGAGCCAGGAGTAATCCCTGTGCATCACTGGGTGTGACCCAAAAAGGAAAAAAAAAAGGTTCTATGATTAGACCAGCTCAAAATGTAATACACCCATCTGAACCATTTTATAATAACCTATTCGAAAATGTTGGAAAGATGGACCAATTCCTAAAAATACATATAGCTTGTCAGTATTGGTTCAAGCAGAGTAGAAAACCTGGATAGTCCTTCAGCTAGCTACTCTTTTTTTTGTTTGTTTGTTTTGGTTTTGGGTTTGGGTCATACCCAGTGGTACTATCAGTCTGACCACCCACAGCTATTTCTAACTGAGCAATACAGATCCGTCTTTTTTTTTTTTTTAATTATTGAATCACCATGAGAGCAGTCACAAAGCCTTTCAGTTCAAGTCTCGGTCCGTCATACAATGATCAAACACCCGTCCCTTCACCAGTGCACATTTTCCACCACCAAGAACCCCAGTATACCCCCTCTCCCACCCACCCCCCACTGTGTGGCAGATTTCCACTTTACTCTCTCTCTCTACATTGATCATATTCAATATTACGACAAAAGGTCCAACATTGTTATTTGGAATTTTTCCCAACATTCAGACCTGCCACATAGACATCATTAGAAAATTTGTTTTCTATTGCTGATTATGAAGAGAATATGATGTTGTGTGGCCACAATAATGGCCACACGAATTTGGATTTCTGATATTTTAGTAATAAACCTAAAGGGATTACCGCCAGAAGCCCCTAGGTTCCGAGATTGGTATGTGTGCCTCTGGGATCATGGTCGGTCAGAAGCCAGAAGAGGCTTTTGAGGGTGGCAACCCGGAGCATTGTCATGGCGGAGAGCAGGGCCGATTCCACCCGCATTCCATAAAGCCCCACGTGCCTCATCAATGCAGTCTCATAACTGGCTGTCCGTTAAGCTCTAAAAGATGCAGGCCACCATGTCACCACCGCAAAGGGGGGCAGGCGGAGGGACAGACACCCTTCCCCTCCCCTCCCCGGGCAGCATAGCACCATAATTAAATACACAGTCCAGATGTATTTTGGTTGGGCATTATCTTTTGCTCAGATTTTCTCACCACCATTCAAGCCTGATTTTCAGGGACAAATGCTAGATCATTTACTTTCCATTGATCACTTTGCCTGTCAGAAAGCCGTGCGGTTTGGAAAATAGTCCTGGAACCCGCATGCCAGAGCCATGCTTGTAGAAGCTCATGGTCACCGGGATTTCAGCTGGAGAAGGCAGGGAGACAGCACCTACCCCATTTGGGGCCTCCCGGTGATATCGGCTCTGAATGGGGCCCAGAGAATTCTCCGGGAGCTAATACAGATCCATCTTAAAGAAAACAGCAGAAGGAGCCAATACCAGGTTCATACAGGATTTTTTTATTTATTTATTTTTTTACTTTTTGGGTCACACCCAGCGATGCTCAGGGGTTACTCCTGGCTCTGCGTTCAGGAATCACTCCTGGCGGTGCTCAGGGAACCATATGGGATGCCGGGGATCAAACTCAGATCAGCCATATGCAAGGCAAGTACCCTACCCACTATACTATCTCTCCAGGCCCTATATAATTGCATAGACAGTGCCTGTTTAACTATCAAGAAATTAATATTCCCATATTTCACAAACATTTCCAGAGATTAGGGAAAGCTTCCCTCTTGTCCTGTGAGGCCACAGAAATCTGCATTCCAACATGAGACAAGGACAGAATAAGTAAGTAATGATGGGCCAGTCTCGCTCAGGAAGATGGAAGCAAATTACCCGTCAACTGAATTTGGCAGTGACTTTTATTTTTAAAAGGCATCTTCAGAGTGATAGTACAGCAGGTAGGGCTTTTGCCTTGCACGCGACTGACCTGGGTTTAATCCCTGGCAACCTGCAGAGCCAGGTGTAATTCTGAGTATCATCGGGTGTGGCCCAAAACAAACAAACAAAATAAATAAAATAAGAGGCATCTTCAGGGTGATTTGTTGCATGACTTAATATTAGTAAAACTATGAAGGTACATCGTCCTGTTAACAAATAAACAGAGAAAAATAGGAGCCCCCTTAAAAAATGCAGAAAAATCATCTAAGAAAACTTGATACCCATTCATGAGAAAAATTCATGGCAAACTAGGAAAAGGGAATTTCACTAACACATAGGAAGCAAAATTTTATTTTTATTTATTTTTTTGAATCACCGTGAGATAGAGCATGACAAAGCTGTCCGTGATTGGGTTCCAGTAATACAATGTTCCAACACCCATCCCTCCACCAGTCTAATTTCCCAGCACCAGTGTCCCCAGGTTCCCTCCACTTCTCCAAGCACCCCCACCCTGCCTGCCTTGTTTTTATTTTTTGTATTGGGTTTTGTTATACAGTTTTATTGGTGTATTATTTATAGTTAAATATCAAGCACATAAAATACGTGAATGGCCATCACTCAGCTTTAATAAACCCTCATCTTTCTCTACTTTAATTTTTTTAATGAAGGAGCTTATTGCATGTATAATTATACCCTTCTCTGTGTGCACTTCAATCCCATTTTTCTCCTACCTCTCTGAAGATAACCAACCCAGGGCTTG